CTCTCGTTTCTATGGGTCTTTAGATTTCATAGCCCCAAAACCCCAAAACCCCACGATATCAAAGAATTAAATCTCATTGGATATGCTATTAATAAATTAACAATTTCTCAATGAACTTATAAATTTATAAACAGAATGGAATCCTAAATATTTATGAATGTTAGCAGCATAAGCGACCCACAAGAGAGCTATGTAATCATTCAAAATAATCAAGAGCACCACGAGCAAAACAATGACAATTAATAGCTAAATTAAATTGATAACTGAGATGATAGACAAGAGGGTGATTATTCCTTTATTTGCATTTAATGCGACTACCCAATAATTCTACCTCCTACTAAAGTTTTGTATATCAAAAGACTTGGCTTTGCAATGCCAAAAAGATGTGATAATTGTCTTGAAAAATACTAAAGATTTATTCGATACCTAGACCGCAAAGGGTTACTTGGAGAAGTTGAAATTGATGAAATAGATGACATTGATGAGATTGAAGAGGAAGAAGCCAATGAAAAAAGAAGTAAGAGAAAGGGCTAGTCTTATCAGAATTAGTCAATTAAAAATTAAATCCTAAATGGCTATAATACTGAAGCAGATAAATTTAATCCTTAGGATTAGTAAAAGAGATTTTATCGAGCGCCAAAAGACTTTGAGCCCTAAGATGTTGCATTTATGATGAATTGCAAATTGTGTGGATAGTAAGAGCCTATTACACTTGAGAAAGCAAGATTTTATGAGGATTAATCTACAGCATCTCTTCCAGATACCTGTAAAAAGTGTTACTTAAAGCAGTAATATTGCCGAGAGACTGAAATCGTCATGAAAATTAAGAGGCAATTCAAAAGAGATATAGGCGGTGGATTCGCAGTAGATGATAAAGAGAGATAATAAAATATTGAAAGATTAATGAAGATCAGAGAAAAAAGAGCTTTGTGGTTGAAGGAGGTACAAGAAGATAAGGAAATTAAAATTGCCCAAGCTATTGCTCTGAATAATTTCGTGCTGATTGAGAAAGATCAACCTCAGTATAAATGATTGAGATTTGATAAAAAATTCTTGATTTTATGTTCTTGTAATAAATCTTCGCTAGATTTGTGACTTGAATATTTTAATTTGTAGTACTAATTTTGAGCCAATTTATTCTTCAAATAATTGATGGCGGGGTTTTGGGGTTTTGGGG